GTCAATAATAAATGGTTGTCTTGCTGGATATCCTAAGAGATGGGCATAAGGTTACAGAAATGTCTATTTTATAGCGGTTCATAAAAAAACGAAATAAACATATGAAAATAGTAAATAAATATTGTAGGGAGGTAAACCTCCATTAGCTCTTGATGGGATTCGGATGACACTTATTTACAGCCCTCCTGCTGATCAGGATGTGGGTCTTGATCTTCTTGATCTGAAATGGTTAATAGGGGTGAGCTACACTAACCCAATAAGAATATCATACTACTCACCGATACAGAAATTGAAGGTTGGTAACAAAACATAAAACGACTAATTGAGCTCTTAATTTAAGTAAGTTTATTTGTCACAAGAAAAATTATTTATTACAAACTTACCGTTATGAGATTTTCAAAATCAACTTATAAAGACAATAACTCAAATAACATTATGATTTCTTATACAAGTGAGTAAAAATAACAACTTTCCATTTTTTATTTACTTATTGGTACCTCTGGGGGTCTATAAGGATGTTCCCTTACGTGTGAATTTAATATCTAAACTTGTCAATTATATGGCCATCCCCATACTCTGTCCGGTATGAACGCCAAAAATATCATCCATCGATATCTCGTCCGGTATGAGGGTGAACGAGATCGTCCTCATACCTCATACCTTGTCCGATAATTTATGTGTAACGAATGTAAACTCTAACGTTATTATACACTTCCGCATTAAATTTATGAATTTATTTCCCTTCTAGTTCTTAGATGTTTCAGTTGGTACCAGAGCCGTGTTCATCGGAACCATTCCTTACATAAAGACTTAAAAACACAAAATACAAAATTATCATTCAATATTTTCTTGTGAAATGCAAGTACAAGAAATGAGGAGAGAAAGATCTCTACTAAACCGAGCAGCCCGGGATGACTCACTTTGAGAGGATTTTGACCAACTCTTCGAGATGCTGGAGAGATTCATCTCTACCCTGCAGGGCGGGGAGGAAATGAGGAAGCTGTCTAACTCTCCCCGGCTACCATAATTTGAGCTACCCTTACAGCGAGAAGATCTGGAGCCACCCCGGTACGACCCTACTCCTCCATCGAACTATCCAGTACCACCACAGTACAATTTGGTGCCTCCACTGCATTATCCAGTATCGCAACAGTACAATCTAATGCCTTCACCATATCATCCGGTACTGCCACAGGGCCACCCGGTTCCTCTCCAGCACCATCTAGTTCCTTTTATATGAGATCCAGTTCCATTCATGATGGAATCAAGCCACATTGAGAGGTACAAGAGACTAAACTCACCTACATTTGCAGGGGCATTCTATTTTGAAGAGGTCAGTTCGTCTTCTCAATACTCCGTTCGGTATGAGGGTGAACCATATCTCCTAAAATTCATCTGGTATGAGACTTCTCAGTTTCGTCCAACTAAAGTAATGCCCATAGTAGGGTTCCTATGTACCGGGTCCGTCTATCATTTCTCAGGATGCCCAGTAAGATTTCATTTATTTAGATTCTCATCATCCAAATAACCACTAAAGCATACCAACATTTCATTTCATATTCACTAATCAATTTTAACGACATTTAAGTAAACGATATAGTTTATCATAACCAATAACCGAGTAACCAGATAACCAAATGAACAATGCATGAAGAACCAAATAAACCAGATAATCAAGAAGACCATAGAAACTATCAATTTAAACATGCACAATATAATAATAAGTAAGTTATGCAATATATGAAAATAAACAGGGAATCAGGACAAATGTGAACTAAACAGTTCTAGCTCCACTAGTGACTTGTAATATTTTTATAGTTTTTCTAATTTTTTTACAAAACACACAATTATCGATTATTAGTCATCAATTTACCATAACCAAGAATAGGGTGATGGATCTTTACTCAGATTGGTATTTCAGAACACCGTACTATCTTCTACGCCTCTTAACGGATTTCGAATTTCCTATATTTTTCTTGCAAAAATTCAAAATACTCGTCACGTACCTAAAAATACTCTAAAAATTAAAATTGATGTTGAAAACTTTTACAGCCAACTTTAGAGTTTCGGCACAGCGTCGCCGCCGTGTTTCAGCATAGGTTCCGTCGTTTCACAATGGAGGTTAACCTCGGCCTGATCAGTTTTGACTAATTTTTGTCAGTTTTGGCATATTTTACACGTATCCCTACGAAAAAATACGTTAGGAGGTCTCAGTTGGCTAGAAAATCACAAGAAATTAAACCTACCAGTGAGGGGACTCCAGGTGCGGCGGCTCCACCAGTTCTCCTTCACGATTGAGGTTTTTTCTTTGGCTAACCTATGCAAAAAAGGATGGTGAACACAATGGTCAGAAAATTGTGTGAAACGGAAAACGAAAAGTGGCTCATCGGAGAGATTTTAGGGTTTCAACTGTAGTAGATCTGTCAAATTTTGCCCATAGTTTTTGGCTCACCCGCCGTCCTTTTTACTCCGATATGACCACACAAAGACTCGAAATTGAACTTCGAGTATGAAGAAATTTTTTTACCTTTTTGGACGGTCGTTAGTGGCTCTGATGTGGTGGTGGCTCCGGTGCTGCGGCGACCAAGGGTCGATCTTCTTCTCCAGTGGCTGGTCTTTCTTCGCCGTCGAGGACAAGTACGGCTAGGTTTATGGTTGTTCTATGATGCGATGTTTAAATACTTATCTCACGTTAATCTGGATCGTCCATTCACGCCGATGTGAAGCGAATAAAGCCATTGTTGCCTGGTTAGGCCGATTGTATGGGCGAATCTGGATCGTTTATTGCGATTGGTATTGTCTGTTCGATCACACCTAAAGAGAGAATGCATCTGAACTGTTCATATACGTGAGATTAAATCTAGGTCGTCAGATCGCTGAGGACACGAATCGCCTACGTAGCGTCGATGTCAGCGTGTTTTGCTACGCGCTGTGCTCTAGTTCGCCGTGGCTACTGACTGAGTCATCCCACGTGGTCAAATTTTTTATTTTTGTATTTTAACCTCCTGTTTCTAATTTTTCATTTGAAAATACCATACGAATTTAAAATTTTACCCATTTTCCTCAAAATTGCTTTCAATTTCATCAATAACTTATTCTCTCAAAAAATTTAATAAAACTAAATTAAAATAATATTTATAATTATTTATATATACTTTACAAATAAGAAAGTTTATCCTAGGCCCTACAACTCTTCTTTCTTAAGAAAAAAATTAGTTCTTCAAATTTGTCACTCTCTCACATAGTCAAACAGTTGGGGTAGTGGGTTCTGAAGTCCGA